CTTAAAAATAACAGAGAACAAAAGAAATACTTTTATTACGCACTATGGACTCACACATCCACATTTCACATAAAGAAAGAGGTCCTATCTATTTGTTTGATACAATGCGATGAATTTATTGATAGGGGCCTGAAATCCTCAGGCTTTTGGCAACTTGCAGGGGCATATACAGTTGAAAATAATAACAACATTTATTGGTAACTAAAAGTTGGGTGTTACATTCTGTGCCTAAATTTTTGCATTCTGAACAGTACATTAAAGTTTACAAGTACATGTGGACGCGTTACTTGGCACCGTTTTTCATTTTCAAGTCGCTTGGACATATACTCATCAAAGTGAATAATGTTTGTAAAATTGTTTATATAATCTGTTTTCACCATGGGATTTCATTGCCTTTCCATTCAAAAAACTTCCCAGTTTCATTTTCGGTCAGTCTGTCCATGACGTCCAGCATGCCCTTCACGCTGTCACTGAGCTCGTGAATGGCGTTACTTCCGCCCATTTGTGTTTTCACCCAACCCGGATGTAGAACGGCCGCCAGTATACCATCACCCTTCAGGTCCACTGACATCGACACTGTGGCAATATTCAAAGCAGCCTGGAGTAGGAAAAAATCACACATCGATTCAGTGTGCAACGAAATTTCTCCGACCATAAATGATTGTAACGTTTTTCAAATGACGTCTGTAATTTTTAAATGCTATGACCTGACAATTTTTAAATGCTATAAACATGCACAATCGAAAAAAGGCCTTGTCTTACCCAATCATGTCTCGTTTTTTAACATTTTAATGAGATCTAAAATAATGTCAAATCATTTGCAAAAATCCGTGGTAATTAGCCTACCCCCCCCCCCAATAATAGCGTATCATTTGCGTACTTATGCGTACATGTATGTTAGCCTGCTTTGAACAAATACTACATGTACAGCTCATCACATAATTTCAAATCGAGTCTACTTAAAATAAAAAGTAGATATACAAGATATACATGTAGTCCTACCTTGCTACACCTGTACGGATAGTGTTTCCCGCTTTGGTTGTCTGCACAAGAGCCCACTTTGCTGGTGATATTTATAACGGCTGCTCGAGAACAGCTGAGTCCTCCCGTGGCGCGTGCACTGGCTGCCTTCAATAGGGGAAGAAACGCCTGAATAACAAAAGGAAGCCAAGGTTAATATTTTATGCAAATATCTTTATAAATCATAATTTGTGTATGTAAAAATAATCCTCGATAAAGAACCCTTTGTTAATATGTATATTAATATTTAAATTTAAATATAAAAGTTGTGATAAGAAGGTCAACGGCGTTCGGTGTCCAACAGGAGACTAAGTTTTTGGATCACCACGCAATTACTTGAACAAACCAAATCCGAATAATGCTTGAAAACCAACATCACGCGTAAGAAAAAAAAAGTTGAATGTACTTTTGGTTTCACTCTACCTGTGTAATCATAACGGGGGCTATGGTGTTCACCTCGTACACTTCTCTCATTGCCTCGGGTGTGACAGTGGAGAGGTCGTGTCGTAGTAAAAGTCCGGCATTGTTGATGAGAAGATTTAGGCCAAGATCTCCAACTTTACTCTGCACATGGGGAACCACTGTGTTGCGGAGAGTGGCGTAATCAGTTACATCTATGGTAAAAAAATATATAGACTGATATGTGAAATTCGTGTATTAAGAAGTTAAGGGAACAGAAAGTTACTCACAATGAAATTGTGATGCATGTTTAATCGTTTGTTTCTTAAATAAAATATCTGGGAATTCTGAAAAAAAAAAAGAACAAGCAACAAAATGAAATATTTCCCTCTACATCCGAGCATTAGGCATCGGTCACATGAAAAATCTAAATTCCAAAAAATCCATTGGCGGTATCTAGTGATCACGGTCTGTGATCACTAGATACCGCCATGGATTTTTGGAATTTGGATTTTTCATATGAACGATGCCTTATATTTACGTCTTACTAAGTACAGAGTCAATCATAAAGGGTTATGAACGCTATTTGGGCCATTTATCGATTGCTTATTAAAAATATTACCTAATTTTACGATTTCAATAGACGGGGTATCCTTGGCCAACGCTTGGAGATCCTGTAAAAAAGCAGACAAACCATATAATGCCATAGGAATATTATGCATTTTTTTTCAGGCAATATCATTATCATGCAATATGGATTTCTTCCATATGACCAAGAAGATTTTATGTGGTTGAAATCTCACCAGATATAAGGTAAGTTGGATATTTACCAGATTATAATGAAAATCAATAATCAAGCAGTTATATTTAATTAATGTGTTAAAGCACCGATAAATTAAACACGAGCCCATATACTGTAGCACAAGGACGAAAGCAGATTCTAGTGAATATCTAATATGTAGGTCACCGGGATGAAAAAATTGTTTGGTGTTGACTGCTTTCGCTTTTTTTTTTTTTTTTACGAAGGGATTGACCTCTAAAACGTACCACTTGTCCTCTCCCCCTTGGCCCGTCATTGATTCGTTATCATTGTGCATACAGTTACACTGCTACGACTTACTATAGGTCCCTTATGCATCGGTTCCTTAAAAGTTGTACCCTTAGATTTTGCTATTTACCTGTAGGAATCCAAAAAATAAGGACCAGTCTGTACACAAGGGGTAGAACTTAATGTACGGTATAGAATTGCACTGTATCAAGCTTTTTGTGGCCGAAGCGCGTCGTTATATAAGCAACTCCCATGTGAAACTTTATGCACAGTTTATATAGGCCTACTGATGACAAATCACCCATAGTCTCACCTTCGCACGGTCGGGATCCCTACAAGTGGCAAAAACATGTTTCGGTGGATTTTGTCTAGCTACTATCTGCCTCACCAGCTCCAAGCCTATGCCACGGTTGGCCCCAGTAACAAGAACGGTGATCGGTTGCATGGCGAGTACTTTCAGTGAGAAGTAAGATATGCACTAGTAGGTCGATCAAGGTCATTAGACTAAAACTCACATCGAGACCGAAGTCATTGTTACGAGCCAGTTATTGATGCGCATCGAACTCCTGTTCGCTGTTATGTGTGTTAAAGCTATTACCGCGCGTCGGCTGACGAATTAGCGCGGTGTTTGTGATGTACACGGGTGAGAAGCACCAGAGGTAGTACGTAACGCGACAAATACCTCTAACTGACTGTACTGACTATTTGCGTGCGTATTCACTATAGGTGTCGAGATGGTTTTCGAACTCGTTGTAGGCTATAGAACGTCGTGACAGGAATGTCGCCGACAATTCAACGTCGACTGTCCCATGCTTTGGTGAATTTCAAAGAGTCGGCAGATAATTGTTAATTGATTTTTACTTTATTAGACAATCATCAAAGTGTTTTTGTTCCATAGAAGTAGAGAATTCTAGTTTTGTTCTAAGTGGTGCACGTGCCCCTTTTTATCACACACCAAAAAGGCATGGTAACTGACCAACTGGAGGCCTAGCATTCACTTTGAGGTATAATAAAATGTTGTTTAAAACTTGGACATAATAACGTTATTATGTCCAAGTTTAAAACAATCTATAATTCCACAAAATATCAAATTTAATTAGGTATTTGAACGTGAAATGTATACTTGTAGTGTAAATCCGTCAGAGTGAATTAATGCTTTTATATATCAAAGTGGTAGCCATATTTAATGATAAGAACCCACTAGCGTTTTCCTGTGTTCTGTTTTATTAGCCTTTTTTAAACAACTGTAGACTCTGCACTCGGTGTTTTATCATTAATGAAAATTCCAATGAACTGAAACAATATTTTGCATTAATAACATAAGAATGACGTGCATTGCTTGAAATGGTTTATATATTTATATAGAGAGATTAACAAGTCTCTAGAGCCTCAGTTATACCTGAAGCTTAGTAAGCCACACCCAATAAGGTGCTCTTAGTAAAGCAGATGTGTGGATAATGATGAACAATAGCCTGAGTACCTGACTGAGTTCACTTTATACAGACTACTATCTTATTACTATTTACAAAAAAACAAAAGTGTATCCAAAAACTAACAAAACTGGAATTTTCTAATACAATCCCATTACAATCATAGCGTGTGATTGTTAAATCTTTGAAATAATACGTAGGTTTAGATAGATAAGTAAGAGGAATGTGCGTTTAATACTCTCAGCTGTTTTTTTTTCATGAAATATGAAATACTTATAAATAACACATAAAAATATCTCATTAGATTTTCAAAAAATGTATCCGATTTCATATATACGGAATGGATAAAGATGGAATAATAAAAGCAGCCCCACAATGAATTTGATTCTTAGCAACTGCCAAGAAATTGTTTGAATATTGCTGAGGTTGGAAAGCGTTGACTATGTAAGTATCACAACTGAAAAAGAAAGGCTATGTTGGTTATCCTGTAAAATGTTCACGTAAAATAATATGCTCGTCTAGTTCAAGGAGTTTCAACAGTTGAAACTCCTTGTCTAGTTTAAGGTAGGGCCTAATAGGTGTGCTTAAATGCATTAAAATGTTTTGCTTTCAATAGAAATGGAGTAAATCGTTATACTGAATTATTCATTCTTACTGTGATTATAAAAAAAATTTGGAACAAAAATTCCTAGTGCACGATTAAAGTAATTATCTCAAAACTAGGTGCCATTCTGAATTGATTGTCAAATTGGATATTAACCCTAGATGTACTTCTGTTCATTTTTTTCACTATTAACTTGTATCTATACACTACAAAGCCAAAACAGTGTATTTGATAAGACCTTCCTTCACCAAGGGATTTCATTGCCTTTCCATTCAAAAAACTTTCCAGTCTCATTTTCGGTCAGTCTGTCCATGACGTCTAGCATGCCCTTCGCGCTGTCACTGAGTTCGTGAATGGCGTTACTTCCGCCCATTTGTGTTTTCACCCAACCCGGATGTAGAACGGCCGCCAGTATACCATCACCCTTCAGGTCCACTGACATCGACACTGTTGCAATATTCAAAGCAGCCTGGAGACAGAAAATACAATTCAGTTCAATGTGCACTGAAATTTCTCAGACCATATACGATTTTTAATTAACTCAAATGATGCCTGTAAACCCATTGACCTGAAACAGGTGCGTAGGCGAAAATTAGTCTTGTCTTACCAACTGATTTCCTCAATGTTTTTTCGTTTTCTACATTTCATCTCATGGAAATAAAAAATCACATTGAAATCACTCGCAAAAAA